AATCTTGCTAATACGACTACACTTAATTACCTGAAAAACCCGAAGAGGGCAACAATGGGAAGCTACTTGAGTCTTACCCTGGGCTCCAGGTGATCTATTTGACATCTGCTTCAACAGAAATTGCTTTCCAGCAGGATTTGCTTCTCCAGCAGTTGGGGGTTTTGTGCTTGGGGTTTTTTTTTCCTCCTTGCTTTAGAAAGAAAAGCAAGAACACAACCATATACAGTAGCATTGACAACACAGCATTAGAACAGAGCTCCTTCGCACCAGCACCTTCACATCATAGGATGGTTTGGAGCATGGGATGTGGAATAGCTTATCAGGTAGTTGGGTTCCCACACTCCTCCCAAGCATTTGGCTTGTGGGAGTTTTCAAGTGGCTTAAGCCTACAGCTGTGCCACCTTTGTTTGCCCAAGATGGTGCTCAAAGAGAAGGCCAGGCACCAACCTGTAACCTGAGTTAATCCACAGACTCATCCCCATTCCATCAGCAGACAAGCTGCAACACACCTCTTGCACAAAACACACCTACCTGTTTTCAGCACTGAAAAAAAAATAAAAATCATTCCAGACAGGCCAGGAGGGGGACAACCCCGACCAGGTTTACTTAGTTAAGGTCACAGAATTTTGTTTACATGACACCAGTCTCACACAAATTGTTCTTGATTTTCAGCAAAGCCACTGGTGGTTCCAGGGACTTCTGCGCTATCAGGCCACTGTTCTGGCAGAGCTCACCAGATGCCAGGCTCTCACCCACGGGTTGCACAAGTGAAGGAACTGGGATCACCATGTCCCTCCATCTCCCACAGCGCTGTTCCAGCCTTGCTGGACACAGCAATAGGCAAATCTCCCCCAACAGCCAGCAGCTGCTCAGCATCCCCTCTCCCACCACAGCACCCCAAGGCTCAAACCATGCCAGATTTGTGTCAGCTGCCACTACAGCCCTAGGCCTGTGGTTTCTGGAAATGAGACCGGATGGCATGTCCCTGTCACTGCGAACAACTTTTCTTCCTCCTGGGTTTTGCCCTAACAGGGCTCTTCTCCTACCCTCACAGACACCATCTTTGGGCACACAGCAAGATTTCAAGGTTTTACAGAAGCTACCATAAAGGCCAAGCCTCTCAACATGGGTTAAGAATAACTACACTGCCAGTGCCCATTTTAAAAAAACAAGAGCTCCTCAAGAACACCCCAATTCTAGGTATCTTACAGATCAATGGACCTGGCACAAAACAAAAATATCAACCAAAACAAAGCTAAAAGCAACTGAGGAGAGGCTGCCATGCTGGGTGAGTGCAAATAAGGGGAGAAGCGTGTATTTAAACGTTTTTATTTCAACTAATGCTTTGCCACCATATTACATCACTTCAAATAGCTTGGAATAGCAATATGATCTCAAAATATAGCAAACAGCTTGCCAAAGCAAGATAATATCAAATCCTATGGATACAGCATCTTCCTTCTTTGGCGACTGCTTCCTTTTATCTGTAAAAATAGTTTCATGTTCCAGAACATTTGCTGTTCACTTTATTGAACCCTGCTGTTTATAACATTAGCTTCTTCCCTGCACAAAACCTCCCCACAATGTAGTATGGTTTTATATCCAACAGCACTTTAAATAAAAAAGTTATAGTTTTCATGCAGATTTTTGTAAAAATTATTTTCTAGGTGCACAGAACTGAACCAAGATGCATACAAAAATGCATTCATTTCCATTCTCAGGTGTAACTGTGCCATCAGCAACACGATATCATGTTACCATGAGAGGTCCAAGGATGGTGGTATTCTCATATATAGTATAACTTTAAAAAAAACCAAAACAAAACAAAATAACAAAACCCCCCATTTTTGTAAGCAGCAAGAGAAAAAGCTGCCATGCTTTATTTGCAAAGTAATCAAAATAGCTAGATGTATAAAAAAAGCACCGTGTACAGAGAATATTAGAGGAAGATCCATCTTCCTAACTACAGATTTCTCATTTAGCATTACAAGCTGGCCTGCAGGTCCCAACTTGTACTGTAGCTTTATTTGCAAAGTTAAGGAAGCGGTCAAGCCTAGAATACGCTTGGACTGTATGACAGAAATTAAACTGGATTGCAGACAGAAATTAGATTTGTTTCCATTAGAACTCATACCAACCACCTTACAGCCCTCAGGGGGTAAAAAAAAAAACCAAACAAACAACGCACCAGGTATCTGAGAAATAATGGAATGAAAACAGCTCCAGAGCAGTATTGCATGATGCGGGTCTGTTATGAATGCATTTCTGTGAGCTCTTGTTAAGTTAAACTTTCCTTTGGGAAAAGAGCATGTCTGTTGGTTAAAACTCCTCTCCCTGAGAATTTTGATACGAGTTTGTCCTGTAAAGCAAAACAAAGTCCTTTGAACTACAACTGTTCCTAGGCCAACAGCATTTCAACATGGTCACAGCTGATCCGCTAGTCATGCACCCAGGGTGGCAGGTTGGGTTTTTGCTGCGTTTCATTTTTTTTTTTTTTCTTCCTTTACATGGATCAAGCCTTTTATACTCGCTTCATTCCTCTGCCCATCAAGCAGGCAAACACGGTCATGACCATCTTCGGTTTCACCTCCACAAGATCTTCTGGAAGAGCATAAACTCTGGCACCGATTCTTCTTGCCATGGACACAGCATACCTATTCACCATGGAAAGATGAGTGGGTCAGCATTGAGACTACTACCAATAAACAAGCCAGCTCCTGCCCTATCCAACACAATTTCACCTATTATCCTCTTTATTAATGTTCAAGATGTGCAACAGTACAGTCACACCATATCTGTTTCTCTTGCACTTTTTTTTTCTTTTTTAATATTTTGCTGTATTCCTTTTCCACAGCAGAGGAAAGTGTCTTAAATGTGCAGATTGACGTTTGAATGTCAAGTCTACTTTACCAACAGTTAAAAAAATTGTAATGAATATTTTTAGGGCTACTAGATAGCACATATAACCAAGGATTAATCAGGTAACATTTACATTTCCCCTTTTGTTTGCTCTTTAAGAACAATCAAGTAAGACTATTATCTGCAATAAACTTTGCTATCATTCTGCCACTGCAGAACAGTCACTGCAGTCACAGGCCCACCTCCCCAGCCTGTCAAGGTCCCTCTGGTATGGTGTAAAAGGTACAGTGTTAAAAAGGATTGAAACCCACAGTAATAAACTGTGGTAAAGACACTGCAGCTTAAGGCTAGCACATAGAAGGTGCACTCTTTCAATGCAAAACACCTTTTGAGATAGCAAACTTACTTAGCATTATTTTGTTTATCATCTTCTGATAGCTGACCAGTCTTTACAAGGTCATAGTTGATACAACCAGGCTGAATAGCATCAATTAAATCCACAACCGCCAAGCTCGTGCTGATAGTTTTGTCCTAGACAATACAGGGACAAATAAAGATGAATGTCTAATCCTTAAAGCATACCTCTCACCTCAATTCAGCTTCTCTGCAACATGCAACAAAACAAGCTTTAAAGAAGCTTTGAAATAAGCAGCAGTGTTAGTGATTATTCCCAGCTGGACCACAGGGAAACCCAAACTGCCACTTACTCCCCAGAGCCCAACCAGCCTCCCCTCCTCAGCCACCCCATCAGCTCTCTTGCCCCACTGCTACTCCCCACCATGGGCAGTCAAAGAGTCTCCTCTCTGGTAGCTCACAGCCACTTTGTTCCCAACACAGACTGAATCCTGTCCCATTTAAATCCCTTTCTAAGATGCCCTGCTGTTCCTCCAGCCAAGGAAATATGTTTGGTCACCCCTCTCCTTTTGGATGCAAGAGGGGAACCTGTACCTTGAAGTTTTGGATGGAGGTGGACTTGCCAGCTTCTTTCAGGGTCTGGTTTACCCAGCTTACTATAATGTCATCATTAGCTTTTTGACCATCACCCAGGTCCTCCAGGACATTCAGCGTATACCTGAGAACCAGCAGAGAGAACAAGTTTAGGCAGAAAGCCCAAGCAAAGCCCTGGCAAGCATGCAGCCAGGATGAAATGTGAGCCCATGGCAGCTTGGAAAGTCTTCACATAGACTCAGCTCTGCTTTATTCTTTTTTAAACTCCTTCAGCAAAAAGGAAGAATCATCTTATCTGAAGTGTGATTTCTGTTAAGGCATGTAGTCTTCCTAGCCTTTCAAGTCCTTTAATATGATCTCACAAAATTGGCTGGGCTCAGGACACTTGTTAAACTGTTTTACCATTGACCATTTGCTCCATAGGGGTAATACATTACCTAAAAGTTGTGGATTAATTCATAAGTTAGCATTCCGATCTCTAATGCCAAATAAAGAGCTACCATGCAGCTATTTTGCAGATATATATTTGCACCATCTTAGAGTTCTACAGAAATACACAAGAAAAAAAGACAATCAACTTCATCTGTTATTTTCTCCGTCCCACCATTCCAATGCAGAAGGGGGTTATAAAGCAGCCCTGGAATGTTTCTCTCTCCATTTCCAATTAAAAATTAGAACATAAAAGTTGTGTAAATGTTCCTGCTTATGGTTTCTTGAGCAGGAGAGAGCAGTGACCCTGGTCAGGAGGATGTGCACAGATCCATCAGCGGGTTCTCTGAAGGTCTCTGCTCAAGCTTCCCATGTGCAGCAGGATCAGCTCTGCCACAGTTTTGTCCACCTGTGTCTCTGAACCTCGCCCCCCCAAGGACAGAGGTTGTACAACCTTTCTGGGCGACCTGTTCCAGTGCTGCAGTGCTCTCGTTGCAAAAAAATTCCCAAAGTCTGTACTCCGTTCACAAGTTGTACATGTTTGAGATGCGTCCTACCTTCTCATCAACTGCCAGACTAAGGCTAGTGTCAGCGTTGGGTTTCCATCATTCAGATCCTGTCCTCCGATGCCAACCAAGGAGAATTTAGCTGGATGTTTTCCCAAGTCTACAGCATAGTTACAGTTTTCTAGCTATACAGAAAAAGAGTTTAAACAGAAAAATCACTCATAAATAACACTCACTTGACTGGAAGCCTCAAGCAGGAATTTTTAGTGTCCAAGGCTTCTTTTAAAGTCTTGAAATGCTTACCTTTTTCATATTTGCTCCAAGCTTAGGGTATGGAGGCTTGTTAACCTTATTCCAGTCAACAGGAACTTTGATCTTTTCATATAATTGTAGTATTACCAGTGCATCTTGGAGATCGCTAAAGCGGAAAACATTGATTAAGCCTAATGTTTCAAGACTTAAATGCTCTCTGAGTTTGTCACATCATGAATAATTACTACTCCTTACAGGTTGTTACAATTTCAACAACCCTGAAAAGAAAAAAATTCAAAACATTTTGTAATTTTTCGGGGCAGGAGAAACGCTCCATGCTTAACAACAGCTAGCTGCTGAGCTAAGGCAGGTTTTAGCATGGTAATCAGCAACAGATCCAGGGAAAGATTTTGCTACATAAAATCCAAAGGTAGCCATCTCTCTCCACTGACGACAGGGACCCAGAGAGTATCTCGCCTCCTAACTATGATGTCTTGATTAAGCCTTAAAATCAGGTGACAGGGAATTTAGTTCCAGTTGCTCTAAGCACCTCCCACTCCCTACCATCACCCTTTCTCAAACGCTTTGCTTGGCACTGTGGGCAACAGGATTCTGGTGTGGGCACATAGAATTACAGAATGGTTTGTGTTGGAAGGGACCTCAAAGATCATCTAGTTCCAATCCCCATCTCTAGCCTGATCTCTAGCCTGAACTAGTTGGGTCTCTCCCAAGAGCCTAACACTTACCCATAGAGGTGATTCACATGGGGGTTCACACCAAGGGAGTTCATCCAGTTGCGGAAGGTCCGTTCCTCACGCGTCTCTCCTACATGAGAGAAAGCAGGTTCATGCAACTACGACAAGATCAAAGCTGTGCAGGGTTTTCCAATTTGCAAGGTAAGGAGCTTTGAGCAGCAAAGCTCATTGATTAAGTTTTCGAGCAGAAAAAGGGTATTTTTTTCTACTATAATTTTTTTTCAAAGGAAGAGGGTTGCCCTGATACCTAATTTTGGATATCACTTTGATTTCTCCAGGCCTCAGAAGAGCAAGCCTTTTGCCCTTTCTACAAGAAAGAGCAGCAGGAAGGTCTTCCACACGGACGTTAGCCAACTACTGCCTGGGAGCCAGGCAGCCAAAGCCCTAATCTCAGTTCTGCCAACAATCAGTACTCCCACGAATATCTCGCTGCATTACTCAGGGGCTCCTGCCCATAGCAGGAAATAGCAAAACCAACTTCACAGCCCTGGCATGGGGACCAACAGGCTGCTGGCAGTTCTCCTACAGGTTAGGCTCCACATCAGGGTCAGAGCAGCTGAACAGGCTGTGAAGTACCCTTCTCATCTGCCCCAAATGAGTACAACCACTGCAGCACTGAAGCCTCAAATCATAGGTCTTACATCAATGGAAATACCTCCACTGGGCACAGCCTCTTGTGACACAGTGTTTACTTTAGATATTTCCCTCCTGCTAATTTTGTGACCGATATGGCCATCACCTTCCAGTAGGGTCCAGTCGATGTCCTGGTTTTCAGGCTTGGTAAGTGCCGGATACTTGTTGAACAGGTTGGCAACAAAGGCCAGGTTCAGTTTGGGATTGCCACTGACCACATCAGCTGGTGTGACAAACTGCCGGCAGCCAAGCCGATCTGCCTGCTGAAGCATGTACTCTGCTCTCCGCAAGTCGTCCTTTTCCTGCCAGGGATGCAATGGATAAGAGCTGTCATGGAACAGATCAGGCTACAAAGCAGATGGGAAAGTCCTGACTGCTACCTGAGGCAGTATCACAACTTCACCTGTCTTCATTAGGCATCAGTCACTAATCGAAGGAATGAAGCATGCACGCTAATCGCTGCTGCTGTGTATGTAATTGTCCTAGTTTGTCTTGATATTTTTCCTGGAATGATGCTTTCCAAGTTTATATGCTTTCCAACTTTCATGCTTTTTGAACTTGGTGGTTCAAAAGCAGAAGTCTGCATGCTCTCAAATGGAGCAAAACCACAAAATGATTTCTCAATCATATATGTTAATCAGCAGGTAGTGATCAGGCCTGCAACAACCACTTATTTAGCACATATCCAAGGTGCACACATGCCCTGCCCACTGATACTTTACACACTTTAGAAATTAAGATACCAGGTTACCTAGATGTCATGGGGCAATTACAGGGTACAGGTAGTTCACGACTGTACAGCATAAGGACACGACAGCCTGATACTTACATTGAAACCCGACATGTTAATATCGATCTGAGGTTCTCCTTCTTTCTGCCCTTTAGGTGCAATTTGATTGAGGAGGTGGAAATAAGCTCTTGAATCCTGAAATGGATGAAAAAGAAAATTCAGGTCTCCCACACAGCAGTGAATACACCATAACAATTCATTTCAGGTTCACCTTTAACAAGTTACTGTGCATAATTGGCTTATGTACCTTTACCGAATGACCAAAATCTGTAAGCTTAAGACAGAGCATAGTGGCAGAAATCCAGGCAGCAGAAAAGGAAACAGAAAGGGAAAAGGTTAGAAATATTTAAGAGGAAAGTTATGGGGTTTAACTGTTCGAAAGCTGCCTCTGCTGCAAGCTCTGGTGTCACAGCCTCCTCTCCAATGGCTGGAGGAGGCAGTGACCCCATGCTGCTCACTTTCATGGTCCCCACAGCCAGATGCCCCAAGGCAGCCCTAACCCCTAAACAAGGTAGCCATTCCTACTGCTACTGCAATGATGAAAACGGCTCAGCAAAGACAAAGTCCAGGCAAAAAGCCGATTAACAAGAAGACTGAATGTCTTCTCCTGTGCCTGTCCATTAGCTAGAGTAGCTTAAAGGAGAGAGGCCAGGGATGGTCACAAACTAGGATGAGCAAATAGCTGCAGTAATCATTTATCAACTACAAGTCCTTTTAGTCCTCAGTACTAAGAAGGACCTCAGCATATCCTGGCAGCCTCTGTGTTGCACCAGACAAGCCAACAGCTATCAGCAAAGTTGCAAGTAATTTTGAAGTTGGAAATAAGAGTGATGACGTGCGTGTGCACGCGTACACACACACAGGGGAGCTTTGGGTTCCCCATGCACTTCAATTATCGATTTTTTTTTTCTACCCTAACAGTCCTTTAAGCTGCAATCCACTTCAGTCTTCTTTCTCCTCCTTGAAACCGCTGGCCATGTGACTAAACTCCAGAAACTGGCTGAGACCAGTGTCCAAAACCCCACATCAACCAGGAATCACCACCCTCCATTTCTCACTAGTGCTGAGAGAACAGCGCCATCCCCTCACATCCAAAAATAGCTGTAAGACTCTCCACTCCCATTTCTACTCAGCCCAGTGTAGAGAATAAGGGGTCTTGTTTCCCTTCCTCTCTCCAGCCCATGACATTTTGGATGAAATGCTATCACCTGCCAAGAGTGTGTGAAAGTCACGCTCTCCAGGGATGCAGTTAAGCATCTCACTGTGTTTGCGTGAGCCGCATGCCCTTGAAAAATTATTTGCATCAAAAAAAGATGGATTAGAACATTTGAAATTAGATGGAAAGAACATTTGAAATCTCATGAATAATACTAGTTTCCTACTCAATTAAAACATGAAACAGCTTTACAGCAGGATCCCACTAGCACTGAAGGAAACACTCAAGACAGTTCAATACTGGACTCAACCTCATGGCAAGACAGAACAGCACTGCAGTACCTTAAATACAAGATCCATTAAACCCCTATTAAGCCTGCTCAGTGCATTAAGTTTAAGAAAAGTCCTGTCTGCAGATGAAAGGCTTCATTTACACACGCAAACATGGCCCTGGCTGGCTCCCAGCCTTTTCCCAGGCACATGCAGGCCAGGAGAGCTCTTGGTACCTTGATATCTGAGCTGAAGTTATTAATTTTGTGCCAGCCTGCGTTTTCCAAGTGGAAGTTGGCCCATCTTAGGAGCAGCTCTTCTGGGGATAGTTTCATAAGGTCCTCCAGATTTTCACCATCACGAAGTAAGGCAGCCAGTGCTAGAAGAAAAATGGTTGTGAAGGGAAGGAAGGAGTTTTCAGGAGGCAAACCTGCATGCCAGAATTAGAGCTGCAGCAACATTTCAGGGAGAGAAGGGGAGGGGTCAATACCAACTACTGATTAAGCCAAAATAATCTGTGTATTAGTGGAGTTTTCCTAAGTTTGTTGTTACACAGACAAGAGCATGAATGACCTAGAAAACTGTGTGTAAAAAAATATTTTCCATTTTCTTGTAAAGCAAAATTATCTGGATTTTATGTGCAGTCTTTTAAGCTGATGACAGTAAGCTAAATGTAAATGTACTATCTCAATAAAAAATTGCTTCCCAACAGTTTCATACACAGCTGTTAAAAAAAGCCAAGATAAGCACCCTTTCAGCTGGCCAGCACTTCCCTTGCCATGAATTTTCAAGCCAAGCCAAACAACGTTACCACTTCACGATTAGGAAGTTTAAATAAGACACTGAAGCCCCTCCATCCACCTGGAGGTGGATCCATCTGAGAGCCCATGCAGGAATAATAAAGTTCTTTGAATAATCTGAAATGTTTAAATTTTGGAGGCTGTCGTGCAGGACCAAGTGAGCACAAGGGGAGAGCTGCAGCACTACTCTCCCACTGCCAAGAACAAATTGAGAGCTCAGCTGAATCACTGACATTAGCAAGGAGGATTTTAGTAGACCCAAGTCATTGCAAACACATTCTCCTTTTTTTTTTTTTTCATGTGGAGGAAGACATGCAGTTGTCCTAAAAAGAGGCAAGCAGCTTTTGTCACCTCCCAACACCGTTATTTGCCTACAGCTGAAGCACACCAGGAGAACCTGCCCAGCCCGAGGCATCACAAAGCAACATGCTCATTCTCACCACAAGGTTTGAGCCGAGGCACACCTTGACTTACAGACTTGTGTTCAGTCAGTTCTCCAAGGCTGACACAGGATGGCACAACCCACTCGCCTGAACCTACTTCACAGCTATAAACAGGCTGGAAAGCACTCAGCTTGGCCCGTGTCCTGACGAACCCAAAGGCAAGTTACCCGCCTTTCAGCAGACAGGAGGGGAGGGAAGCAGGAGATGACAGCGCAAGCAAGGCAGTGTTCATGCATTAGAAGTAACCACTTCATAGTTTCATTTACCTTCATTTCTGCTGAGCTCGATGTCGGCGAACAAGCCAATCTTAATAATCTGCCAGAGAAGCCCAAGGACCAGGTGGGGTTTCCCTTCCCTTAAGTCCTCTGCGCCAATATTGACAACATGACATCCGATGGCAGATGCAGAATTCAACGCCAGGTTCAGATTCTCCTGTGAACAGCACAGCTGAGTGAGAGAAAGCCAAGGGAGATTCTCCTCTGCCTTTCATCCAGCACCAGTAGGGCAGATTTCCCCCTTGTCCTTGCTCCAACAGCAGCAGCTCAGAGGAAACACTCCCGGTCGCTCTCCGGCTGAAGTTTTAATGGAGCTGTGGTGGCAGCAGGCTGAATCAATAAGAACTAAACTAGGCACCAGAGTTTAATTTCAGCCTCTGGTATTTAGTTTCAGCCTCTGAGTTAGTCGCATCTAGCAGCACCAACAAGAATAAGTGTTAAGTTATACACACATGCATGCCCAGGCATCCTCGCAAAAAACAACCTGTTGTACTACGGAACGATTCATAGATAGCCAACAACAGTAACCATATTGTTTTAAAGAGACAGCACTGTATGTAATCACCACAGCAATAGCAGGTGCACACACCATTTCAGCCAATTTACCCATTTAGTCATTAAGTCAGCATTTTTGTCTTTTAAACTGTACCCACAGCACTGTCGATTATGTGCAGTACAAAACTGCCTTTAATAAACAAACATAAATTATAAAACTCACTCCTTTCCAGAGTTCCACAATAATGCCTCGAGCCACCATGATGTTTTATCTATCTATCTATAGATAATTCTGTCTGAATATGAATTTCAGCAAAACACAGAAATGTATTGTACCTGAATTATAAATGGTGTGAGTTTCTTCTTGTTAATTGCTCTTTCATCAATCGTATCCGGAACAGAAAGATTGATCATTTTGCTGGTAGGAAGAAAACCAATAATATTTGAACAACATTTAGTATTTAATCTCAACAAAACTCAATGCACCACAGTACATTTCCTTTTGCCTGTTTTGTTTTGTTGTTTGTTTGGGTTTTTTTAAATCAAGGTTGAGTAAATCAGAAGTTAATATTTATGTTACCGAGAATTTGTATTTGTAACTAATAGCTAAGCCTGAAACTTTAAACATGTTACTGGTCACTACTGAGCTCAGCTGCTGGAGCAAAAAAAGCACATGAATTATTCACAGCACAGTCACTGAACCAGCAAAGACTCATTGCTCTGTTGACATCTACTTCTAGTGGATTCTAGTACAACGCGCTTCCTCCTATTGTGAAGGTGTACTACAGCTGGCAAGAAAAAGCTGCCCCAAAAAAGTGCAAACACTTTGAGAGGTCAGTGGGGGGCATGTGAGTGCAACGAATTTTTAGTCAACAGAAAACATGGCAAGTTTTTACTTTATATTATGAACTACTTCCTACTCAGTTCAGTCTTTGCCTGAAGACCTGAATTACTTGAAACTGGGGAAATAAAAAAAAAAATATAACAAGCTAAAGGGAAAAAAAAAAAAGAGAGAGATTAAAGGCAATAGGAAGCCCACTAAACATCCTTTTTGTATTGATACAGAGTTACTGAAATTCCAGGCTTATCCAGTTCTCAACTATATTAATCCACTTACATTTAAAAAAAAAAAAAATAAATCCACAAAACCAAAAGAAACTCCATACACAGAAGGCAACTGGTGTTTAGCAGCTCCAGATGCCTTCTGTGAAAATAAGTTACTTTACTAACTTAGTACAGCTATTACCAAAAGCAACAAGAGGATTCCCAGAAAATCCATTTTTTTGAGTTAATTCATAAAGTCACTAACATTCCTACAGAGGTTACCATCTGCCTAAACATCCCAGAAAATGGGCCACTTAACACATCTGCCCTCCTCCAAGCTACTTAGGATCAGGCTGAGTTTGCACCAGGACAACTTCTGATCCCACAAGGGACCTTCTTCCCTTCAGCAAACTCGGTCTCAAGTCCAAACAAAAACACTAGACAAAAATATCAGCTTGTGAAGCTGGCATCAAAGCTGAAGCATCATGCAATGACAATGAGCGCCTGGGTGACTGAGCCCCTCTTTATACATGCAAAACATTATACAAACACACTAGTCACAAAACCAGCCTAGAATAGGATGAAAATTCCCCTAACTACAGTTTTGGGAGGTGGGGTTTTTTGTTTGTTTGTTTTAATTCAGGAGCCATCACGACTTACCATAGCACAATCCCATCTCCCACAGCTTTGAACAGGTCATCTGTATTTGGGTTCATTGGAATAACGTGCCTACAGTCAGGATCATTTTCCAGGGCTTTGTTTATCCAGTTTACAAAGGCATATTTTTCTTCCTCTAAGATAACCAATTGCAAATTTAATACAGGCTTTTTCACAACATAGAGAAGATCTTCCCAAAAGAATCAGTGTACAATAGCCCAGGGAAATAAAAGCCCCACTATCATTACCACGCTATTTTATTAGTCACAAAAAGTTTAAAGAAATATGACTTCCACTTCCAATTACCAGAGTATTCTGGTCATTTACTCATTACTCAACAACTTTATTACATTCAAGCGTGACACAAGAACTTCAACAGCAAGCACAGTTAACAAAACAAATAAGCACGCTTCTAATTTACATACTGCTAATCTTGCATTATCCTCTAATTCTATCCTACTCTCACCTGGACGTGAGATCATTCAGCTATTAAAGAACATAGCAGAGCAGTAGAAATCTACCGGTTTTGGCATACGGCCTCCGCTCACCCAAGAGAGGAGCTGAAAGTGATACCTGAGTAGGAGTGCTGCGTCCCCTCGCTGGAGAGCTCCGAGGTCCCCCCAATCGCACAGATTCCTTCCTTCCTGTTAATTGCTTTTCTGAATGTTTTAGCAATATCACTGCTCTTCACCTCTTGGAAAATCTACAATTTAAAGTGCTCTGTTAGACAAGAAAAACTTGTCTTCATAAAATGAAAGGACCACAGAAGCAGCTGTTCTCTGCTTTAAAGCAAACTTTGTAGTAACATCAGCAAACGTGAAGGGCTCAGCAAGGGTGTAGCAGTATCAAATTTAACATGGAGAATGGGCAGAGTGTCATCCCACTTTGTCAAACACATATTGCAAGTGCTTATTGAAACAGAAGCATTAAGCACCTCACATACATTTACCTTTTCAAGTAGATTTCAAGAGACTACAAGAAAAAAAACATGAAACCTTTGCAGTCCGAGAGCAGGTACACATGCAGCAGTTTCTGCAGGACCAAAGTTGAGAAAGCTGTTGTGCAATTTTAACCTTTCTGCATAAGCCAGATGCTCGTGTGACTGTGACTTTAGTTCACACAAAAGACTCTGTCCACAACCCAAGAAACAATTCTCCTTAGCGTATAACAGTCAAACCTTCAATAGTGTGTAACAACAAGCACTCCAGGTAAGGATTCCCTCTCCCCCAACAGCAGGCTTGGGTTAACTGACAAAACACCCTCACATTTGAAGGCAGAAGAGATGCTTTAGCATAGAAAGATTACGTGTGCCATTTGTGCAGGCTGTATGTTACTATCAGGGGCCCCGAGGTCCTACAGAATTGAGCAACTATTAGAAAAAAAATTTATTCAATGGCTTGAAATGGTCCTTCAAAACTTAACCAAATTAGTTTCAACCACACTGAAAACACACGTGAAATGTATGCAGGTTCTCTAAACACTACCCAGAAAAAGGCAATGAAACAGCACTGTAAAGCAGAACAACAAAGTATTTCTGTTAAAAAGACAGGAGGGGACTTGCCTACCTGGCTGCAGAGGTGTCACTGCAGGGCTAGCCTGTTGGCTGTCAGGCCTTACCTTCCCCTTCCCGTAAACACAGGGAAAGTGGCAAGTTAAGATGATGATGTAGTGCAGTTAAACCATCTCCTGATGGCACACAGAGGTTTTGCTCACCCTAGTGATCAGGTAGAGCTGACTGAAGACTCAAAAGCCCAAAAATTTTGGGTCTTCTGGTTGGTTGGTTTAAAACATAAGGATATTGATATGAATTTATTTATTTTAAAATTATAAAGATTTATTTATTTTAAAATTTGCTGGACTATTTACTAGTACTCCATACCTTCTTTGAAAATATGTGCTTTAATGCTGCGGTACCACTAAGTCACTTGGCCCCAACCTCAAATCAGTTTATGTCATCCTTTGTACCATAAATCCCACCAAAAGTGCTCAAAGTTAGGAAACAGCAACAGTTCTGTTTGTAAAAATCCTGCAACTAACCATCGTTTCTACTGTACAGCTTAGTTGCCCATAAGATATTTCATGTTTACTCAATCATCGGTATGACCAAAATGTGACAGAAGAGATTTATTTCTTCCTTCCTAAAGTGCAAAGTTAGAGTTATGGACCAGCTCAAACATGCACCCAGCATGCAAGTGTTCACAAACTGCAAACAAACTCCAACTTACTAGTTGACTCCGAACTCAAAAGTTCAGAGGATCTGAAAACAATTAAGGAACAGAAGGTGAAGATAAATTATGAAATACAAAGAAAAATATTTGACATGTAAACAGGTCCCTCAATGTACTGCACATACTTTTATTACTCTTTCAGCATTCAGTCATCAGAAGACAAAAAGGATAAAGGGATGAATATTGAACCAGTATCTCAGAAGTGTGGTGCCTTTGTAAAAATAAAAAAAAAAAATGCAAAATTCTGACCTATTTCTACAGAAAAAGGCTGAAGGTTAGACCCATCTTCCAGCTTCTCCTACCTCCTTACTCCTGTTCTTCCCTTTTAAGGTAACATAGGGATCGGAATTTTCCTAGATCAGCATCTAGGACTAATCTCCAAGTGTGTCTTGAAATGCACTCTCAAGTCTTTAGCAAATACTTGTAGTCCCATTAAACTGAGAAAGGAAATTATACTGCTTCACTGGGAAAACAAGCATTCATCTATGTGCCTGGAAAAACTGAGTAGCTTCCAGTCAATACTGTAAGCTTGGAGAACTGAAAGTCTGTTTGCCAGTTGTCACCTCATGTGGAAATGGTCTTTTGGCCTCCAACGAAGTTTTCATATAGCAAAAGCATGTAGATTCTTTTTGGTTTTTGCTTAAAAAAAACCAACATATTTCCACTCTGTCCAAATCTACAGGCTGGCAGAAATCTGTACAAAGAACTTATTTTTACGTGGCAAGTCCTCAAAAGTGGTCAGTTTGTAGAAAGAAAACTAGGATTAGGGTAGAGTGGTTGAGAAGCCAGGTTCAACCTCTTCTACTCCCTTCCTTAGCTTTGTCTAAAATGGCTCCCCCAGGCTGCTGGAAATTAAGACATGCCACTTACATAGACAAACTCTTCAAAACTAATCTTCCCATCTTTATTCTTGTCGCTGTCGATCATGAGCTTCTGGATGATCTCTCTCACTTTGTATCCAGGGAGAGGCAGGTTGGCTTCCTTGAAGAGCTCGTGCAACTCATAGTCGCAGATGAACCCATTGCTGTTGAGGTCTGAGGAAGAGATGGTACAGGAGAAGGTTTTAGAAACATCCCAGTACCCCAACAGGGCCAGGCCCAGACAACAAGGCAGAAACACAGCCCCCACACTCAAAAGTGCTTTATGGAGAGCAACCTGCAACATCTACAAGACATGGAGGTAAGGAGGAATCTCCTAGCATAGCCTGCCACAGCATACCTGTTGTGGAGCCACATTGCACAAAGCATTCATCTTTGCTGAAAGCAAGATCCATGCAGGACACAGACACACAGCAGGACGCCCACACTAAAAATATCAAGCCCAAGTAGTACACTATTCAACGGACACCACCAAGAATACACCAGGAATCACAAGCACACAGTAAATACACACAGCACATCCTCGGAGAGGGTCCCAGTGCAAGTCATGAGATCTCTCTGGCTTTGGGCAACAGCAGCTTTGAAGCAGAGCTCACCAAGATCGCTCTTGGCACACATAACCAAGTCTGGTGTAAAAGTTTCACAGCAGAGCATCTACATTTTCAAAAATGATCTCCAGAGCGTTTCTTTTTACATCTAACTGCAGCTGGCTTTGAGTGTTAAAAATACACAGTAATGAAACATAGCACTTCTTACTTTCTGAACTAAAAACACTAAGTCAGCTCTGCATTTACATTTTTTTTTATCATGTTGATAATGATGTTATCCATTTGTCACTGACAGAAAATTGCAGCCATATATTTTAAGGCTGCCCAAGAATGCTCTCTAAGGACGTTTCCTTTGACAGTCAATCACCAAGCCACCAAAGCACTGCATGCTTAATGAGATGTTATCGCCTAGCAGATTTGGGAAGAAAGAAAATTAGAATCTAGCATGAATCTGGAGCTTTTCAAATCAACAGATCCCAACCCCTTTGGGGACGTCATCCCATCTATTGATTGCACAGGGCAAATCCAGCAGCCCTAGCCTTTCTTCAGGCAAGTGAGGTTTTGCTGCCACCATGGACAGGCACAGGTTAGGTGCCTGCCTCGCTCAGGCTAACCGAGATGAGCAGTGTGGTTCACAGCATGGCTGGTACTCAGGCTTCAGCAGTCAGGTCCACAAGCAGCCAGAGCATTTGAAGCAGTTGGATGGCCCAGATTCACAGCCCAAGACATAAGCATGACCCTCAAGGATGTTCAGAGAGACAGGGATTCAGGGCGTGTTGTGCTGTTATCAGCTCAGTAGTGATGTTAAAATCCCTTTGCTGTAGGCGAGCGGCACAAACAGCCCAGGGAACCTAATTCACTGCCTGGGCTGTCATCTCCTCCCCAGGACTGGAACTGTGGGGAGATACCAACCCTGCATTACTGCTGCTGGTGGGGAATACTCGGATGGGCTGAAGAGGTGGAGATTTGGCAGTTTCCTACAATTGTCATTCAACCACAGGCTCTGCAAAGTTGACACAGTGCCAGTACTGAAGACATCAGCTGAGACCTTTAAGGCTGTCTAAGAGCTGTCACTGCATTTAAGAAGCTGCAATACCTTCTCCTCTACCTCCAGAGCTCCTGGCAATGTCATGTGCACTGTCAAGTGCAGCTTGCCACCACTGGCTGCCAAAACCACACCATGCTGCAAGGCACATGGTCCTGCTTGGCTTCACCTAGCCACCATTCTGCCCATATCCCACACGGGAGGACTCTTCTATTTATTAGGCAGCAGCCTCTCCCTAGGGCCATAGAGTTAAATTCCACTCAAGCAACAGCTGCTACTGCCCAAACACCCTCCCAGACTGCAGGCTGCTGCAGGCTCCCCAGGCTGCACGATGGAAGAGCCGAGCCAGCCCCAGTACTTGGTTTTATTCAAGAGGGAATCTCACACCACAGCCATGGGCGTCAGTAATAAAAAAAAAATCAGGAGGCTACTTTCAAGAATAAATGAAAACAATCAGGATAGCTCTGAAGTTAGGGGGGGGGGTATTTTAAGCAAATTTTAGATGCCAATTTACTTTTAATGAGGTGTCAGTGGTAGTTTTTAGGTTTTATTTCACAGCACTGTTCCAGCAAGCAGCATGTCTGCACCACCACTCCAACCTTCCTCATTTTCCAGATCCATATGGGATTTTAAAATTCTTTTATAGGTTAGCAAGAAAGTGAAATTCAAATGCTTAGTGGCAAACATCCGAAGTCACACAGAGCAAACCTGTACTCCCTCCTACACCCCAGTCCCTAGGTCTCAAACTAAAGACGACCATTAATTCCAGTGGATTAGTAACTACATTAAACTACTTTTATAAACCATCAGTGTTTACTATAATGCTGATGAAATAAAGTGGTTTGGGCCAATGTTTAATGACAGTGACAGGCTGCTATCTGGCCTTCAATTTTAGAATTTTATTCCAGAAAACATGTAAGCCTACAAAGGCAAGCTTTATTAAACAGTCCTGCCCAAGATGTCATCAGCAAACTATTTCCCTTCTAGATAAATCACAGCTTCTTCTGTTACAGTTTTCTTATTGCTAACTCCACAATATGCATCTTTTCCCTGCCTCACAGCCAGTGAAGAAAGTCAGACAAGAAGGGATCTGCTGATCTCCAGGGCCTATGGACCCAAAAAAACCCTTTGCTTTCACCCTCAGCATGCCTACAGCAAACACCCATTGCTTTAGCCTGTGCTTAACTGAACTGATCACAATCCTTTGCCATTCTGCCAAATCAAGCGGGTAAATCCAGAAACACCTGTTCATCACTTCTTCCAATCAATCCACCACCTAAAAAACCTAAGTTTTACTTCTACCCGAACGTTAGCAGGCAATGGACAGAGAAAAATAAGACTTCAAAATACATATTGTATCCTTGAGAGCATTACAGGTGTGATTTTGATTCAGATTTGGTAAAGGTTGACATGTCTAGCTCAAGCATTCAGAAGCGTTTCTGAACCAGGCTTGCATGTGCCACATCTGAACCTATTCAGAAGTGAAAGGGGAAAACCCAATATGTGGTATTACATGAGGTTGATGCCTGTAGAGTGAGACAGCAAGGAGCCAAGCTCTAAAGTCCCCATCTCTACTACACTGCAGGGATGCACAGGTTAAAGGATGCTTAAACCCATTTAGACCTCAGTTCTACATACGAAGGAAGCCCTGCATGTCTTTTAAGGGTACAGTCTAGTTCAAGGAATTAACCCCCAGCCTTACATTTACATTGGTTTGCTTGCAGAACAGAAACCGTAACTAAAAAACATTGATTGAAATGCAACTGAGGAGTTAGCCCAGGCCACTGTCTGGTCCTGCTCAGCAGACCTCAATCTCAGCCCAAAAGCATCAAATGTGGCTTAAAGGCAGACATCAGGAATTTACTGCAGTCTGGGTCAACATCTACCCATTTTGAGGGTTTCGTTCACTCCTGCAAAGCAGCATCCTCCCAGTCTTCTGGGTGTGTCTAGTTCGAAGAAGATTTACCTCTGCTCACTAAAAAAAGATAAATAAAAAATTAGCAGCCCTGCTGCACAAAGAGACATCTGAAATGCACACTCATATATGAGCACATGAGACTCAGGAGCATGGCACCAGGAAAGATGCTGCCCATCAGTAGGGGCTGCGCACCAGGGGCTCCCAGCACCTGCATTGGGCTCAGACAGACAACACATAACCAAGTGTGCACATTATTGAATAATGCACCTTAACTCACTCAAAACCCTTGGGTCTCAGGAGCCCAGTTCTTCCAACTCTAAACATCCTCCCAAATACCCACCTGTAAAAGTTACTCTTACATAGTATCCTGTGAAAAAAATTAATTGCCAGTTAACTATATAGACATAGCAAATCAGTCTGGCATCTATGTCCCAAACACTTTGGAAGTGGGATTTATGAGCAAGACAGGTCTGTTAGTTCAACTGCAAAACCCCACACCAAGTTACTGGTTTTGTAGTAAAGACACTCTCATTTCAAGTTTTACCTTCTTGACCACAGAAGGGCAGATTTAAGTGTTAAAGCCTGCAGATGCGCTAGCCCATGGTCTTGGCTTGGTAGCAGAGTTGAGTAAGCTTAACTAGTGATTGACTCTGTGGTGGAATATGGACCCATTCAACATTAGCATGTCAAAAAGCCTTTAGCCCTGTAAACATGACAAACAGGCCTGAGACCCCTATCCCACAGCGCAGCTGCTTCCTTTCCCACTGTCTCTGTCCCTCCTCTGGCATCACAGTCAAATGTACAAAATAGCAGCATTTAAAAAAACCCACAACAGTAGTCACCTTTGCAGCACCAGCAAGTTTCATAATTATTTCCAGCATTACTGCAGGCGCACCATATGGTGCCTTGCTGGATGTCCTGCAGCAGGGCCAAACTTCAGACGGAAGGTGGTCTAAAATCCCTTTCTAACAAAACCTGAAGTGGTATTCAACAGCTGAAGGGGCTGTCAAAATAGAAGCTATCCCAAATGAAACCCTTCGGCGTACAGCCCAGAATTACTAATGGAAGAAAGTGAAATTGTTTTAACAGACAACCTACAGCCTGGATTCATTATAATCTGCCTGGTGGAAAGGAAACTAAGCACATCTGAAGTTTCCTATTTCTACTGAAAGATGCATGCGTGCCAGTGTACTAAACCTGGGAAAGGTCACCGCAGTGATGTACGCCATCATCTTCTGCCCATATGCATGTGGCGCAGCAAAGCTGCAATAAAACAAAACCCCAAAGCTGCTTCAAGCTCTGGCTCAGCTTCCTCCCGACAAGTACTTAAAATAGCTTAAATAACAGGATGCAAGAGGGTAACGTAACCCGCACATTTCCTTTTAAGGATATATGCTCAGTAGGACACACTCTAGCAGGATCACAGATCCTTATTTGCCTTAAGCTAACATTTCAGAGCATTGTTTTACCACCTTGCAGCAGTGAACAAAGCGTTCAGCAGAGTTACAATTTTTAAGTACTTAGTGTTTCCAGAAAAGATGCTTATCTCTGATACTGGAAGCAGGGGAAGGAAGACAAACAGAGCAAGTTTGCAGATTTTGCTGTGACATGCCTCCCCTATGAAGGGCCACTGTTTGGCCAAGTACATACATACACAAACCTGTTCCACAGAACAAATTCAGAGATCAGCTGAGATTTGAAGCAACTTGCTCTTCTCCCAGTAACCTGCAGGTCATTCAAAGCCTAGACAGTTCTTATACCCCACTCAATTACTTTTTTTAGATGTTAAAATCTTTTTTTCCCAACTGCTGTTTACCACTTGGATCACTTCCAATACAAATACCTGGTTATAGAACGCTGGAAGCTGCTTGTCTGAGCAGTAGCTGACTTTAGTGCTAACTTTAAACCATGGTTTCTCACCCATGGACTGCTTCTAGTAAGCAGTAAGCAGTCTTTGGGCCTCTTGCCTTTTGCTGGCCATCAGAGAACAGCACACCAACTGCATGGGAGAGAGAGGATACCTTCAAGTGGCATGGAAGGCAAGCGGTGACAGAGTACACTGCCTTCCAGCATCACCAAATGTCTCGATCTGGTCCAGCTGCATACAGAAAAGCTGGTCAATCACACACCTTTTAAGTCTCATTAACCTACACATCTAGAGTGGCAACTTGCCCCATGCCAGAGTTAAAGCAGGTCTCCAGGAAGTCCACGCCGCCATGCACTGGAGCGGGGCACATCTTGGTGAGCAGAAACCACCCCATGAGACACTTCCTCCTCCCCACATCTCCTTTATGACATCCTAGAAGCCAACCAGCTGAGCTTTGCTATAACCATGCTTCTCAGCTGCGTTCGAAGACTTCCAGGTACCTGAGAGATGAAAGAAAGACTTCATTTTAAATAGCAGCCTTAGTCCAACTTTTCTTCACATTCACTAGACATGGCATTAGAAGTTCCCAGTGAAAGTCAGTCACCCAGTTAGTGACCAATTCTATATCCCAGGGCAAATATGGCTCATTTAGGCAAGAACAAAAGGAATGAGAGCATTAAAGACACTCCTGACAAGTGAGTCCCACAGCAATGCTTGCAGGCTGTACCATGCCTAAAGCACACAAAACAGAAGGCAACTGAAAACGACTAACAGATTCCATCTCACTTGTGGGTATGTCCAGGCTAATTATCACATTTCTCAATAATACCTACGTTTTGACACTGCTTTTAGAATTTAAAACCAAACAGTGACCCACCTCCTGAGCAAGGTGAGCTGGTTTCCTAAAACAAACCCCGATTTGACTTGGGTTTCTCTACATTTCCAGTGCAAAGGCAGAAAGCCAACCTACTCTCAATAATTTCCCCCTATGCTAACAACAAAAAGCCACCACATTCCCACCAGGTTAATAATGTTTTTAAGTTTATCCAAGGACAGAATGGGTTGCCTGCATCCCAGCCTTATTAAGGTTTGCACTCAAGAGGCACATTAGGCAGTGAGAAGCATGATGGCTACTCATCTCCTTCTGCAGCAGCTCACTTCCACCTGCTGGAAAAGTCTCAGGAAGAGTAAGACAGGAGAGGGAACTGCCTAAAATGCAACTTGCTTCAAGTCCCAACAGGGAATACTGCTCTGTGAGAACCAGTTGCCTTTGAAATTCATATTTCTCTCTGCAGATTGCAAACTTAGAGCAAGTGAGAGTTTTAAGAGCCACCCTGCTCTAGGGGGCAATTTACCCAATCAGATGTGAGGCAACTACTGATTTGTATCTATAACCACTGCTCAAGTGATGCCGATGCCCAGTTAGGAAAACTTAACACTGGCTCCGATCACTTGTGCAACTTCCCAGCTAGTGCCAGTCCCAGCTGCGGCTCCCCAGCTGCATATGCTGACCTCAGACACTGCTGCGGTCCAGCTCCCATCCCACCCCTCCCTGGCGTTTTTCTGATCTGCCACTAAGCCGTATCAGGAAACTAAACCAGGAGAAAACAATTTTCTCCATTATGTCAGTTTTATGCCTGTTTCAGCTTCCTGAAGCAGCCTGCCAGAGGCTTCTGCAATGCCAGTGCAGAAGAAAAGGTGGAAGGCAGGCAGAGCAGCTTGGGCTGTGCAACCCCTCGAGCATCATAGGCTTTTATGGAGGTGAGAACCAGAGCAGAAACAGAGCCACCAGAGGACAATGCACGTGCACTGCAGCCACAAAGCATTTTATTACCACCACAAGTTGCTCCATAATGGCCAGGTAAACAGACACTAATTAGGTTTTGCCTACAAGCTCACTAAATGCAGTGCCTCAAATGCACCTGCACAAGCCAGAAATGTAGCACCTACATTTACCATCTGCACAGTTCAGCCAATCTGCCAAAACCAACATCATCAGAACCAAGCACCATGCAAGCCCTGAAGTGCTGCCTGGGCCAAAGTAACACAATAACTGTTTGGATATTTATTCTGTCATCAGGAACTGACAAAGCCCACCCTGGAGCAACAGGGCAGCGCTCACTGACAGCCAGACTGTCCACGTCCCTTCCTTTGTGCTCCTTGGCTAGAAGTGACAAGCCAGAAGCAATAAAGCTGCCAAGGGCTCCTTGGCATGGAGAAGATCATGAGAGTAGCAGACTGCCCACATCCTGCTGGCACCGCTGCTCACAGGGGTGGGATAAATGCATTTCAAATGTACAGCAGACAGGAGCAAGGTTCCCTCTTCATTGTGACTTACCAACTTTGGCAAAGGCCTCCTTGAGTTCCTCCAGCTCATCTTTAGAGATTTGCGTGGTGTTGGCCATTTCATTAATTTAGGGAGTACCTAAAGACAGAAAAAGCACATTGTGTGAAACCAGGCTTCATTCAAATGCATGCAATTTTGAACACCAAGTACCAAGGTCACTACAGTTGTCAAAGCCACATTTATCTTTCCACTAAGAAAACAGATGTGTGAAACTCAGAAGATGGGAAATGCACTCCTTAACAAGTCAAAAATCCCATTAGTCTTGTTAATATTTAGCTCTGTGTATTTATTTTATGGGCTATGCTGTTCCACACACATTAAGGTACTTGCTACCAGTGCATTCTGTAGGTCAGAAAAGCTCAAATCTCCAGCAGTTTTCCACAACTTTGAACAAAATCAGAATCCAGTTAAAAAATTAATGCAAGAGATATTGAATGCTCTGCCTGCCTGTCCCAAGAGCACACAGCTACCAAAACCAAATAACAAAGATTCTGAACATTATCCGAAAAAGCTCTTTTTGCACCAAGTAGTATACCTGATACTGTTTGCAGAAAGGAAATAGTCTTTTCTACAAGAAAACTGATTGAATAAACACCTGCCTGTTTTCCCAGAGCCAGCCTCTCAATAAACCATGCAAGCAACAGGCTGTTTGCACTGCTACTGACCCCTCAACCCTTCTGAGCAAGGCATGTCAGGAACACTTCAAGCAAGTGAGAACAGCAGGCATCAGCCACGCTCAAACCCCGAGTATGCTGAAACGCTGCTTTGATCAAATCTGTTTGGTGTTTAAGAAACAGAGAGGGTGAAGCATACAGTTCCTACACCCATCTGCTATAACGCTCCTTTCCAAGCACTGAGCAGGTGCTCCATCCCCTTCCCATGACATTTGTGACAGCAGCATCAGATGCCCTGTTGGCACCAGGGCCAATATGACCACAAGAGACACTGACTGATGGAACAATGCAAAGACGCCAACCCCTGCGCATGAACAAAAAGGTAGGCACTGATAAGCACGTTCTAGCACACATGCTAACTCTAGTTCAGGGTCTTTAAAAATGGGAATCTGGGCAGGTTCAGTGCAACTTCAAATGAGACTTTCACCCCAAGATTTTCCAGCTCCCACTTTGTTACCTACAGTCACTGTAAGAGGAGAAATAAAAGGTTCCTCCTCTGCCTATGGGAACAGACACAGCTGCTTCCTCCTCTGCAAGCAAAGCATGAGGGGTGAATCCAGGTTTACAGACTGTCAGAAGGCAGGATCCTGAATGGGCTGGCGCACTGCTCAAGCAACAAGAGGCTTAGTTTCACGAAGGCCTGTGCTCTGATTAGCACGTCATTTTGTCTGAGGCTCCCAGCTGCCTTCACAAGCAGTTGTTAGCTTAAGATCACAAGTTCACCTGTAGCTGTAAATATTCATTTTCTGTAACGCTTCACTCAGACTGGAAAGAACAACGTTGTTCGAGATGAGAGCGATGGGCAGGCGTGGCAGCCTGGGAAAGCAGCTCAGACAGGTGCTAGCAGCAGAGAAAGTCAACAAGAAGTTGCATCACTGCAGAGACATGAAGGAAAGCACATCAGACCCCACCTCCCAGCATCTGCAGAGCTACCAGTGGACATGACAAGATGTTTAACAGTCAGTAAAGGCCACCAACAGCAAGACGGACAGCTTCATCATTGGACTCATACCGCAAGAATGGGGCAGGGGGAGGAGTTGCAGCAAAGCTGCATCAGACGGACAGAGAAGAAAAAGAAAAAGCACCATAGTAAATTTTTTATACTGTCTCACAGATTACAAGTTAGGCTAGTTGACCAAGGAAATGCTACCATGCCAGTCTTTGCAAGATGCAGAAATGCTGTGTGCAGTGCTGCCCATCTTACTGGATGCCCACTCTGCCAGTCTGAGACCTACACCCATTCCTGAAACAGCCCCTTCCCTGCAGCACTCCCACAGGTGCCCCAGCAGCCTGAGCCTCAGTGCCACCAAAACCTGGCTGTTATTTCCAGGGGATAAAGGAGTTGCTCCGCAAGAAAGTCAGCTCTGAGCAAGCTTGGTGCAGGCTACAGGAGGTGGATTTCACAACTGGCAGAAACACTTGGGGAACACTATTGGGAACGGAGACAGTTTTGGCTATGCAGGCAGCTGGCATGAGCTGCCAGGCAGGAGAGGCTGAGCTAATGAGACTAAAAATTCAGCCAACTCACCTACACAAGTTCTGCCTTCTTCCTAATCGTCATTTGCACCAATTCATTTTCAAACCACGAGGATTTCCCTTAAAAAGGGATTTCCAAAAGCATCATTATCTAACCACTTCATTGGAATTTAATTTGCTGCTATCTTTAACAGCAAAACAAGCAGCGAACACCACCATAACCCAAGAGCTTTTAAAAAAGCTGCTGTGTTTGACTTTATCAGGGAAATACCACACTCTGCAGTTGTTTGTGTGGGTCTTCACTTAAAGAAAATTTTCCCTTGTAGCCCCTATGCTGTTCACCTCAGTAAGTCTACAAAACAGGTTTACCTCTCAGTTTTCATATTGCTTCTTCCTTCTCTGTTTCTCTACTTGAGAGGAGAGAGGGAGAATTTGAACTAACAGAGAAAAAGCAGACACCTGACCTTGTTATAGCTGTCTGGGAATGGGAAAGTATGTTATGATATAACAAACAGTATGTTAAAAGGTTAGTGGGCCACAAAATTACAAGCTGACAGGGACTGTTAAGCTCCCAAAGCAATTTTACAGAGGTTTTTTTGCAATGGAGAGGTATTACACCAATATTGGCACACTGGGCTGGGGGGCAGGGGAGCTTTTCAGTTTTTTGTTGTGTGAGGGATTTTTTTTTTTCATTTGTTTGTTTTTAATAGCTGAGTCTAGGGCACTCAGAATTGTGTTTTTCATTCAGTTGCATTTTTAAACAAGAGGCTTTGTCTTCACGGACATAAAAAGCCCTTTTATCACACTGGCATAGGGATCACACATCAGCTGCCTCACTTGAAGCCCTGCGGGGATGCAGCACCATGCTGCTCACGCCTCACCACGTGACATTCACTTCTACCACGAGCAAAGGCTCTGCCAGGGCATGCAATGACAGAGAGAGCCAAACTTACATTTAAAGACCCATTTTAGAGGGAGGAAGAGAGAACAAGGGGAATAAAGGAGACAGAACTGAGCTAGTGATCCTACACCAATTTTACACCCTGGTGACAGACTGTCTATCAGTCAATGCACACATAAACAGTGTATAAGGAAGCAATTCCTGCTCCAGATCCGTTTCACTCCTGCCTTCATCTCTCACCCCACCAAAGAAAATCAAAGGCATCTCCGTAACATACAGATGCACAGAAGCGGCTTCACAGAAGAGGGCGGCTGGCAGACAGTGCAAGCCTGTCTTTGTCCTCTGAAGACTTCACTTTGTGCTGCAGATCAGAGCTGCTTTAAGTTCATCTCAGGCTTTCAAATATCAACTCCCTTTCCAGAGAGGGGCTGTATAAAGTTTCTGTGCAAATATGTTTTATAGCTTCTAAATACACTGCAGTCACTGAATCGGGGTTAGTTTATTTGCTTTCCAGACAGAACTGCAACACGGGGAGGTCAAATAAAGCTGCCCCAGCCTGTATGTTTTAACAGCTGTAAGCCACCTGGAGACATGCCATTGCAGTAGGGACTGTCACTGGAGGGTTGCCTCCAATGTGGTGCTCAGCACTTCCAGCACAAGTGCCAGAAGCTAACCAGGACATTTGGGTGGATTAACTGCTCAGACATTGACTTAAAAATCACTCCAGCCCATACAAAAAGTCCCCAAGGCTCTTCCCCAAGAGGGGAAGCCCTGGGAGCTGCATCCTGCATGGAGGATCAGTGGAAAATGGGGGCAGGGGAGAGAAAAGAGGAAAGGAGCATTCAGGCATCTGCACGTCTCCTTGAAAGCTGGAGGATTAATTCAATTTTGAAAGTACACAGCAACCAAATACTGCCCAACAGCCACTTGAACACTTCCAACAGAAACAGAGCTGGCATTTGCTGCTGATCCAAATGGAAGAATTTGCTTTCTTAGCAGCTCCGTGTTAATTTGAAAACCAATCCACTCCGTCCCTCCCAGACCCACCCTGTTTTAATATCTCTACAACTGACTGATTAACAGCATCAATTTGTTTACTCAAATGGGCAAATGCAGAGAAACGTTAAAGTGTCAACAAAAAGGTATTAATAGGTCCTTTTTCCATCTGATCAAAAAAAAAAAAAAAAAGAGCAAGCTAGGCCTAGTCTGGAGCACTGACTCACCCCATATGTATTCCCCTTTTCAGAGGAACCTGTGGTTTTGCTTCCTTTTCATGACAAAGGCTCCAGACATGAGAAGGCAAGTCAGTCAGCATTAGCTAATTAAAAATACTTCAAAACCTGTATACCTCTGACCACTAACGCAGTACATATCAGTCTTGCTTTAGGAATAACGAGTAGGACAGCCAGGCCCTTGGTCCCCCCTGCAACCCACGGCAAGTGCCAGAGCCCCTGGGCTTGCAGCACACAGCACTGATGCAGTCATCTTGCTAATTTGGAGGGAATCCTGGCAATTCAGCTGATGTAGGATCTGGCCCCCATGCTTCCTGTGGCTCACTCCATCCTCCTCTTACTCCCTGTTTCGCAGGTAGAGCTGAGCCCTGCCAAGAGCCACATCAGAGAATGGGGTGGCCATCCGCACTCCCCTGCTTCCTCTGCCCCATTCACCCCCACCCCAGCTCCTTTTGCAAGATGTGTGAATCTTGGTCACCACAAAGTCCTTTCTAGTCCTCTGCTGGAAGGGCCTCTCCCCCACTGCCACACAGACCCCCTCCACAGGGCCAGCAGTATCATGCACATCTCGGCATAGCTGTGCAAGCTTCTGAGCTGCTGAGCCAGCCCAAGGCGGCCACTCTGCTCAGGGCAAAGCAGTGAGGGAAAGGAGTCACTGTAAGGGCTGAAAGCCTGAGTTTTCTTTGCATCCCTTGAGATGATGCAGAGATGTCCTGCAGTGTCAGGAACCCTCATCTACAAATACTGGCCAGCTCTAGGCTCATGCTGCATTTGGAAATGCTTACAGGCAGGAGAGG